CTCCCTCCCACCCTCCCTATCCCACCCCTCTAGGTGGTCACAAAGCACCGAGCTGATCTCCCTGTGCTATGCGGCTGCTTCCCACTAGCTATCTGTTTTACATTTGGTAGTGTATATATGTCAATGCTATTCTCTCACTTTGTCACAGCTTACCCTTCCCCCTCCCCGTGTCCTCAAGTCCATTCTCTAGTAGGTCTGCGTCTGGGCAGGCGTATTCTTAACCACTGTGCCACCAGGGAAGTCCCCTGATTTTTAAATAGTGACAATTAATTCAATTTTTTTAAAAAAAAAAAAAACACGGTGCAAGCCAGTGCAAACCCCAACACCCCTTGTGTCCGACGGCAGGCTCAGCTGCATTTGGAGAGCGTGAGCAACTTTCTGCTGGAACGTCCTCCAGAAACCATGAGCCAGACACTGGTTATCTTCGCAGGAGGATCTGAGATAAAAAACACAGACCTCGGGCTTCCCTGGTGGCGCAGTGGTTGAGGGTCCGCCTGCCGATGCAGGGGACACGGGTTCGAGCCCTGGTCTGGGAGGATCCCACATGCCGCGGAGCAGCTGGGCCCGTGAGCCACAGCTACTGAGCCTGCGCATCTGGAGCTTGTGCTCCGCAACAAGAGAGGCCGCGACAGTGAGAGGCCCGCGCACCGCGATGAAGAGTGGCCCCCGCTTGCTGCAACTGGAGAAAGCCCTTGCACATAAACGAAGACCCAACACAGCCAAAAATTAATTAATTAATTAAAAAAAAAACAAAAAAAAAAACACAGACCTCGAGGGACCACAGTTCCCTCAAAGTCCTGAGAGTAAAGCCCCGGAAATGTTCTGAGTCAAGCTGTAACTTTCACCCCAGGGGCTCACTTCTGGGGGTAGCAGGCGTGAGCCTTTGGGATGACCTCTCTGAGGTCACGGCCGGGGCGGGAGCTGAAATGCAGGGTTTGCAGCCTCTCAGGTCTACGGAGGGGAGACCTGGCTGGCAGGAATCATAATTTGTTCTGTCTGTGGTTTTTTCCCCTTTCTTTCAAAAAAACATTGTTGAATGAGTCACCCAGCCCAGGACAGGAATGCTGCCTGTGGGTGGATCCCTCCGCAGGGCTCCTGCAGAGGCACCCCCAGCCCTGGGTCTCAGGTGGGAACCACGTCCATCATTCGGCTGCAACCCCAAGGGCCCTCCCGCCACAGGCTCAGTGCCGAGATGTGGACCGGTAGGTGACCAAGGTCCCGGTTCCCAAATGCACAGTGTAAAGCTCTGTGCTGGTGCCACCAGGACCCTCCTAAGGTGGTTCTCCTGCTGACCCCACAGCCTTCCAGATCGTTCCTGCGTGATCAGCAGGCAGGTGGCGGGAAGAACCACAGCCACGCCCTCCTAGGAGGGGCTGCTGCGGGAGCCCAGATAAAGTCCCCACGGAACTCGCGGGTCACAGGGCGGGACTTTGCTTGTGGACTGAGGCACAGAGGCGGCAGGCGCCAGCCAGCGGGACCGGGAGCATCCTCGCCGACAGCAGCAGCCTGGGGAGTCGCTTCTGTTGTTTTAAACCAAGAAAGTGGCTCCAAGTCCGGCGATGTCGGCCAAATGTCACCAGGGGTTGAGCCTTTGTCACTTCCTTTCTGTGCACCAACCCCAAGGCTGGCACCACTCTCTCTGGACGGCACAGTGACCCCCTCTGCGGCCGCGGCCGCGACCAGGGCGGGCTGTCAGACTCGAGCCGCCCCAGCCTCTGCCGCGAGGAAGGCTCCTGTTCTCGGACGGCAAACCGTGCAGCTGGAGCATGTGCTTTCCCCGGGCAGGCGACATAAATTCTTCCCGCCAAGAGGGCCAGGGAAGTAGGAAGTGAGCCAAACTCACATAGTTTTGGGTCTGTGTCATGGGGAGGGTCCCATGGCGAGGCGGCCCCGGGGACCATAGCCTAGGCGCAGCCGCAGGCGGGGGGGACACAGCGGTCACGCAGCTGCTCACCCCCATCAGTGACAGGCTGAGCATGGCGGCTTCAGATTACGGCCCAGAGCCAGCTGTCGCGGTGGTGGGGGATGGAGGAGGGAACAGTGACTCACGCGGGTCCAGGTGGAGAAATCCGGCACCAACCTTCCAAATTAAACTTTTAACTGGAGACCACTGATATTCACACGCAGTTGTAAGCAGCAGCAGAGAGAGATCCCACGTGCCCTCAACTCACACATCTCCCCCAAGAGGATGCACTCGTCACGCCGGGTTCCGGCTCAGGGCGCCCCCCACACCCCGGCCGCATCCCGATCCCCACGTTCACCTTCACACCTGGCGTGCACAGTACGTGCAATGTCTGCACGCGTGTGGGCTCGGGCACCCGACCCGCTTCCTCAGAGGAGAGCCCGCGGTCCTCAAGGGCGAGGATACCCGGTGGGAGGCCTGTCCGCACACAGGATGAAGGTGGGGGGGGGGGACGGAGCGCGGGGAGTCAGGGATGCTGGTCCCCAAGGGAGGGGCACGTGCGGGCTGGGCATCCCCCACTCCCAGGCGGCCCTCGCCCAAGCCAGACTCACCTCTGTGATGATGAGGAAGTCGTCCCCAGGCTCCCCCTGGACCACGACCTTCTCTCCGTCCTCAGACTGGACGGGCTCTAGTGCGTCAGCCACGGTCAGACGCTCCCACTTCTCCAGGGACTCTGCAGCAGGGGACACGGGGGCGTGGGGGTCACGGGGGCCAGGGAGGGTCGGGGGCTCAGCTTCCCACCCCAGACAATCTAAGAAAACACCCACATGGCCAGCCCCAGGGTGATGAGGCTTTGCTACATGACACGATGAACAAAACAGAGAGCAAATCTCTGTGCAGGAGGCCCAGGTATTTTCACAAGTGAGTTGGGCCCAGGGTGTACACGGCTCAGCAGGTGGACAGGGCTTCAGAACTGGGAGCGATTCTAACCTACATCACGGGTTTAACATAAATGACAGGCACTGGACGCTGAGTCCAAGTTAACTCAGGATGAGATGCCTTTGTTATCTTCAGAACAGAGCTGCCTATATTTTTGCAAACAGTATAATCGCAGCTCAACACTAGGGCTACTAAGGGGTTTAAATAATTCAGAGGCTGAAGCAATTCCCTGTTCATAAGCCACCATCCGGTGCCATTCAAAGAGCATACATACAACTGCATTTACGTGGATAGAGCTGTAGTAACCTTCCATTATTTTGGGTCAAAATATTTCATTCCAATGGCAAGTTTACTTTGATACTTGCAAATTCTGTATATCTTTCCACCCTTTCTCACTCCTTCCCTTCCCCGTCACTATCCACCCCTAGCCCCCAGGAAGGAAACAAATAATAGCATGCTCCTTTTATAAGAAATTAATGATTGCCTGATTAACTGTTTCTTTTTTGGCCAAAGAAACTTTTCTGGCCTACACTTATCAGCTGCACTATGTAGGTCAGCCGCTAAAAATACAGAGCAAAGCATTTATTTTAGATCTCAAGTAGGAGGGGGATTTCTCTGCTTGAAAACTCCTGCCAGGGCCACACGCTGAAAAGGACACGCTTCTGACCAACCCCGGGGCTGGAGCAGACTCTGGAGCCGCTGCCAGCACGCTGGCCCAGCAGCCTCCGTACCGGACGGGAGCTGCCCCGTGACCCAGACCCCGGGCACCCTCAGGAGGCCGGCATGGCGGCGAAGACGCAGGTGACTTTGCAGGGTCACGGTTGGTGCCAAGGTGGAAGCCGGTGCCGGTAAACGTGTGACTGCTGCTTGGTTTCCTTCCAGGGCAATGAGAGGCATTTGATTTTACAGCCTTGGGCTTAGGAAGTTCTCTTCCTCCTGTTTGAGCGGTGGGTTTTTCTATTGCATTTGAGACCTGGAACCCCAGTCCCGAGGTCGGAGAGTCAGAGCTTCCACCCTCAGCAGCGTAAATCCCAGGACAGAACTGCTGGAAGAGAGGGAGATCGGGGCGACTCCTTGGCCCCGATTTCTGAAGCGGAAGCTTTGGGGGCATTTTTACTGCGTTCAGATCCCTGGGTCCCAGGTGTGGACGGTCAGCTCAGGTGGGAAATCGGTGACTGGCCGGGTGGGGCCACTCCCAACGCTGCCCTTCTGGAGGGGGGTCTCAACGCTGCCAGGGAAAGTGGCGGACACCCCGCAGAAGAGACACAGAAGGCAGCCCTCAGTCGGCGGTGGCCAAGGGGCAGGCACACCCACCCGGAACGGACTGGCCTCGGGGCCGACGCTTTGGGAGAATGTGGACCCTCGGGCCCTGCCTCACGGCCGCTGCCGCCCAGCCCTGAGCCTGACCCTGGCTCCCCTCCCAGGAGACCCCCTTTTCCTGCCTGGAGGCCTGAAGCCTGCTTTTCCCCTTGAAATAGGGTCAGGGCAGGCCCCCTGAGCTGCCGCTGCTACCTCCCTGGAGCAGAGGGTCCGGGAGGGACGCGCCGGGTGGGCAGCCATCCTGCAGCAAGTGCATCTCCACGTCCGTCCCCCAGGCCTGCGCCGTGTCCTCTGCCGGGGGACCTGACCCCGCTGCTGCCCGGCTGCCCCCCACCTTCCCCCCACCCCCTCACACCACCCCCATGTCAGCAACTCCAAGCAGTCGTGTCCTTCTTTTTGTAATTTGGAAAAAAAATAATCAGAAAAGTAGAATGAACACCACAGCCAGCATCTGTCCTGAATGAAATTACAGGACTACTTGATCATGTCTGCTTCAGAGCTATTCCTTACAGACACATCACGTTAATGATAAAACCGAGTCCCTTTGTCTCAATTTGAGTTCTCTCTCCTTCCGCAGAGGCTGTGACTATTAAGGATTTGGTGGATATTTTTTTTTAAATCTTAAAGGGTTTGGTGAGCTTCCACCCCATAGGTGGTCTTACACCTTTACTGTAACATAGCTTCGTAAACCTGACCCAGCGTTGCCGAAATTGTGCAGAGACGCACCGTCATCTGCGCCATCTTCTGTGTCCGAGATCCATGTTGAAACGTGTTGACACGCGGAGACCTAGTCCATGCGCTTTACTGGAGTATAAACCTGCACCACACAAACACCCGGGCGCGAGGACCTTCCTGCAATGACAGATTTTAGGTTGTTTCTACTTTCTTGTCATTGTAGGAATTGCTGAAATGAACATCCATGTCCGTGTCTCTTTTTTTATTAACCATGTTTTTAATTGAAGTAAGTTGTGATAGTTTCAGGTGTACAGCAAGTTGATTCAGTTATATATATATATATATATATATATATATATATATATATACATGTTATATATATATATATATACACATTATATATATATATATATATATATACATATATATCCTTTTTCAGATTCTTTTCCCTTATAGGTTATTACGAGATACTAAATATAGTTCCCTGTGCTTTACAGTAGGGCCTTGCTGCTTATCTATTTTATATACAGTGGCGTGTATCTGCTAATCCCAAACTCCTAATTTATCCACCCCACCCCGTTTCCCCTTTGGTGACCATAAGTTTGTTTTCTATGTCTGTGAGTCTCTTTCTGTTTCGTAAGTAAGTTCATTTGCATCATTTTTCTTAGATTCCACACATAAGTGATACCATATGGTATTTTTCTTTCTGACTTACTTGCTTAGTAGGATAATCTCTAGGTCCATCCATGTTGCTGCAAATGGCATTATTTCATTCCTTTTTATGGCAGAGTAATATTCCACTGTATATATATACAGCACATCTTCTTTATCCATTCATCTGTCCAGGGACATTTAGGTTGTTTCCATGTCTTGGCTATAGTGAACAGTGCTGCTGTGAACACTGGGGTGCATGTATCTACTTGAATCATAGTTTTTTTCTGGATACGTGCCCAGGAGTGAGATTGCTGGATCAAATGGTATCTCTATTTTTAGTTTTTCGAGGAACCTCCATACCGTTCTCCATAGCGGCTGCACCAATTTACGTTCCCAACAACAGTGTAGGATTCCCTTTTCTCCACACCCTCTCCAGCATTTGTTATTTGTAGACTTTTTGATGACGGCCCTCCTGACCAGTGTGAGGTGGTACCTCATTGTAGTTCTGATTTGCATTTCTCTAATAATTAGCAATGTTGAGCATCTTTCCATGTGCCTGTTGGCCATCTGTATGTCTTCGTTGGAGAAATGTCTATTTAGGTCTTCTGTCCATTTTTTGAATGGGTTGTTTTTTTGATATTGAGCTGTATCAGCGGTCTGTATATTTTGGAAATTAAACCCTTGTCAGTAGTATCACTTCCAAATATTTTCTCCCAGTCTGTAGGTCGTCTTTCCGTTTTGTTTATGGTTTCCTTTGCTGTGCAGAAGCTTTTAAGTTTAATTAGGTCCCATTTGTTTATTCTTGTTTTTTATTTCCATTACTCCAGGAGGCAGAGCCAGAAAGATCTTGCTGTGACTTACGTCAGAGTGTCCTGCCTATGTTTTCCTCTAGGAGTTTTATCCTGTCCGGTCCTACATTTAGGTCGCTAGTCCATTTTGAGGGTTTGTGTGTGACGTTAGGGAGTGCTCTAGCTTCACACTTTCCCAGCATCACTGACTGAAGAGGCCGCCTTTTCTCCATTGTGTATTCTTGTCTCCTTGGCGTCTCTGCACCCACGAAAGTGCACCTGCTCCTTCTCCTTCTCACTCCAAAGGTTCTTAGAAAAGGAGGCTAAGCCTCACGCCCCACCTGCACCCAGAAGTCCAGCCTGCGGTTTTTAAGGCTGTGATGTTCCCGCAGGAACTCCTGCCGGACGGTTATTTCCCGCGGTTCCCAGGGCCTTAGCACTTAGACGTCACTCGCTCTCCCAAGCGGGTCCACTCCCTGTCCTTAAGGGGAGCTGCTAGACACACACTGATTCATATTCCAACTGATTAAAATGACATAACATTAAAATTCTCAAGTGTTCCACACGGATACGGAACACCTGCATTGCTGCCAAAAGTTCTACTGGGCAGGCTGGTCCAAAATGATACGTCGTTGTCGTGTATGTCAAAGCAACTTCAAAACGCTGAAAATCTTCTGCTGGAGAGAACCTGTTGACACTCCCGACGGTCAGTGGAAATGTGGCCAACGTGCCTCTCAGATCCCAGGACGAGAAAAGTGGGGGGCACACGAGAACCCCCATGGAGGAAAACCCAAACAGGTCAGGAAAGATGCTCGACACAGCTCCAAATGGACCAACATGGAGAGAAAGGCGTTGATGGTAGAGAGACGGACATGCGAAGCACGGATGGATGGAGGGCAGACACTGAGTGTGTGTGTGTGCGTGTGTGTGTGTGTGTGTGTTGGGGATTTAAATCAGGTCCATTTGGCCGAAGCCCACGGTTCCCCACTGTACTGTGTTGCCGAGAGTATCAGAGCCCAAAGCTACTTTTTTCTTTGACAAGACTGTGGAAGGAACACGAACTGCCTTTTCTACAGGGTAACTTGGAACTTAGACCCTTCCTCAGATTACATAAGTACGAGCCATAGGAAGGAAGCCCCTGGAGACCTGCCGTTTCCAGGTTGGGAATCGTTGGGGTGACAATGCAGGAGGAGCAGGAGCTCGAGCAGCCTGTGGGTGTCTCAGACCCCGAGGGTGTGGCATGGGGCCTGAGCTCTGAGAGGGGCTTCTGTTCCGAACCGACAAGCCCCGCTTCCAACGCTGGTGCCTTCTGTGGCTCAGCCCGTGGGTGGCCTCTTGACGCCTGTCTGCCCTGAGC